GTAAACTAGGTTATTCAAGTATAAAACAAGCTAAGACAAGAGTACTTACAATATAGAAGCTTGTAAGGGTGTTTAAGGTCCAAGAACACTAGTGTGTGTTCTTGGTGTTTTGAAGAACACTTGAAGATCTATGAAAAAGAGAAGATTTTATGGTTGAAATCATGTATAACCACTAGATGAAGTGTTATAACAACAAATCAAGAGAAGAAATACTTACATTTTTGGAAGATTAGAAGGAAGATGTGAGGATACTTGAGAGAGAAATGAAGGATTCTTGACTTGAAAATGGAAGTAATGAGGAAAAGGGTGTAAAGTCATGCTTTAAGCATGAGTTCACGACCATAAGGGAGTTTACAGCCCAAACTCCCAAAGTTTGGCCGTAAACACCATGTTATGGTGTTAAATGCTTGATTGATGCCCTATAAACCCTAGAAGGTACTTCCTCTCGTTCGTTCTTTTGAAGAATTAAGATTAAATCACCCGAACGGACTCTAACCCGAGCTAAAATTTAGCAAAAATAAGTTTGACTTTTAATTGAAGTGCTTGACTGTAGGGTTTGTACAAATAGAAATTTCGGGTTGTCACACTCGATGAGTTGGATCGCAACATCGCAATTCTAGCTTTGGGATGGACTTGATGTGTTATAGGGATAACTCGATAAGTTAGGTCAAATCGGAGCGTTGACTTTAACCTTGACCAAAGTTGACTTTTAAGGGTTGAAGGGTTGAGTTGTATCTAAGGAGTCTTTTATGATTAGAGAGGTGGCAGAGCTGATACTCGGAGGTTGACCTACTTAGCTAATAGTTTGCATTTGAGGTGAGTCTCCTCACCATACCAATGGGTCGAAGGCACCAAGGCTGGCCCATTATTTGCTATGTGGAATGCTAGTTTGATTATGTGATATGTGATATGCTAGTTGTACTTGTTATACTCGCGTGGAAGACCCCGGGGGGTCCCGTGGTTGTGGACTAAGACCATGCGGTGGTTCCCATGGCATTCAGTGTAAGACCTTCGAGGGTTTCCATGACATCCTAGTTGTTTGCATGTTTAGCTTATGTGACATTTCTGTAGTTAGGAAGACCATGTAGGGGTTCCCATAGTAGGTAGTTAAGACCATATAGGGGTTCCCATGGCAGGTAGTTAAGACCATGTGGGGGTTCTCATGGCAGGGGGTTAAAACCACGTGGGGGTTCCAGTGGCACCCGGTGTAAGACCTTGGAGGGTTTCCATGGCATCCTTATATGTTTATATGCATGGCTTATGTAGCTTATATGGCTGATATGGTTTATGTGATTTTGTGGATTGTGTGGGGCATGTTATGGGGAACTCACTAAGCGTTAACTTATATTTTGTTGGTTGTTTCAGGTACTTCGGGATCTAAGGGCAAGAGCCCGATGTGATGGCGCGGCATGCACTCTCTCACATTTTATTGGGGACACTCTGATATTATAAATAAATTGTCTAATTGTTATGGATTTTGAAAACACATGTGATTGCAATTTTATATGTTATGGAAATGAGTTCGTTACTTAAAAATGAAAAAATTTATCGAAAATTTGGGCTGTTACACAAAACACAATCCGAATACCCGGATCATCCATACTATATCATCCACCTCCAAATGAGCCCAAACTCAATACTTCAAAGGTTCTAAGTCTGCTAATACTCACTCCTTGATTACTACCCCGCAATGGGAAACAATTCGAAACATGGCGTTACAATAATTTTAGTTATTTATTAGTTCTCTATAGTTTTTATTTATTTTGATTCAAGAAATGAAAAAAAAACTCAAACGCTAAAATTGTAATATACTCTAATATATTAATACATTTTACACTTTTCATCTTTTTTGGTTTTTTCTTGTTTTTTTAAAATAAAAAATTCATATTATTTTTTTAATATTTTTCGTATTATTTTTTTAATTTTTCCTATTTTTAATTTTTTTCATCGTATTTTTCATCAATTTCATAACTTTTTTTGACCTTTTTCAAAAAGTATAAAATATACGAATATATTAGAGTATATTACAATTTTGGTGTTTGAGTTTTTTTTTTCTATTTCTTTTTTTATAATTTTGGTTATTTATGGATTTTGTAATTTTTTTATTTTCATTTGAGAAATGAAACTTATATTTACAAATACAAATAAAGAAAATAAAATTAACTTTTTTATTTACTCGAATAAAAAAAAATTACAAAAACCATAAATAACCAAAATTATTAAGAAAAATAGAAAACCAAAAAAAACTCAAACACCAAAATTGTAATATACTCTAATATATTCATACACTTTACACTTTTAGAAAAAGATCAAATTTTTTTAATCAAATTGATGAAAAGCAAAACGAAACAACGAAAATAAGAAAAATAAGAAAAAAGTAAAAAATACAAAAGAAAATTAATAAAATAATACGAAGTTTTAAAAAAATACAAAAAAAAACCAAAAAATGATGAAAAGTGTAAAATGTATAAATATATTATAGTATATTACGCTTTTGGTGTTTGAGTTTTGTTTTTTTTTTTGTTTTTCTATTTTTATTATTTGATTCAAAATAAATAAAAACAATAAAATAATAATAAATAACTATATATATATATATATATATATATATATATATATATATATATATATATATATATATATATATAACAAAAGGTTAAATAATGATAATGATAATGATAAATACAAGCATAAAGTTGCTAATTATATTAACTATGGAGCATTCAAGTAAAAAAACCATGAACTGTACCAGCATAAAATTATTTAAAAAAAAAAAACATTGACGTTTCAATTCACAAATAAGAAAAATAAAAAAAATAAAATAACAGTTTCGATATGGTTTATAGAATTTAGATTTATTTACTTGAATAAAAAATAAATAGAAATATTAAAAAATCATAAATAACTAAAACTATAAAATAAAAATAATAAATAAAATGTGAAAAAAATTAAAAAATTTGTCAAAGTGTTGAAATTATATATATATATATATATATATATATATATATATATATATATATATATATATATATATATATATATATATATATATATAATTTCAAATTTCAAAAATTACGCAAATGGTCCTTGAGGTTTGTAGTATATTCCAAATTTGGTACAAGGGCACAATTGTTTTTTTCATTAAAATTTAACAACTAAAAAATTATTAATTGCAGGAGGATCTTTCATGTAATTTTGCAAACCACATAGACTAATGGTGTGACGTTTTCCTTGAAAGTCCTCAAAATGAGATATTTTGCATACCACAAACCAATCATAAAATTAATGCATAAAGGCTTTAGGAATAGTAAACTTTATGCTTTTCAAAATTTTGCCACAAATATTTTCAATATCAACACATTTAGTCCTTAGAAATTATAAACTTATGCAATTCAGATTTTTGCCACAAATGTTTTCATTATTAACACATTTAGTTCCTATAAATTTATAATTTATAGAAAAGGTCCCTATGAGGTTTTTATTATAAAAAAAAATTAAAAAAAAATGCATTCTCTATGATTAATATTTTTGTATGTTGGCCGATTTGGCTCTTGTGTAGAAAATAAATTACAAAAATTCCACCCGTAATTTATAGAAAAGGTTATTGTGCAATGTTACAGAAATGGTTCATGTGTTTAAAAAAATTACAAAAATAATCCGTAAAGTTTTGCCACAAAAGTTTCATCACTTTGCCACTTTCGGTCCCTCAACTTTTTATCACATTAGTTTGTAGAGTTGGCACTTTTGGTCCCCCAGCTTCGATATTCTCTACTGGTAGCCATAAAGGTTTCAAGAAACATCTAGTTTTGTGGATTTGGTACCTCCACCTTCAATTCTTGTATACGATCCTACTTTCCTCAAAAAATTATACACACATAAAATAGAAACAGCAAACAAGAAAAAGAATCAAAGAAACATCAGAATATGTAAACATGGAAAAAAATTAGACCGTCATGAAGTTCATCATCAAAGTAAAAATTAAATGGTGAACTTCCATATTTTGTCTAATTTAACTACAAAAATAAATTTTATATATATATATATATATATATATATATATATATATATATATATATATATATATATATATATATATAGAGAGAGAGAGAGAGAGAGGAAGGATAATTTGAGAAGTCAAAGTATCCTGAGAATCCGAGAACTAAAGGTGGAACGTTAGATCTAATAATTTGATGTTTTAGATTAAAAGTGGCATATTTGTAATTATAAATGAGTTTAATGGCATCTCAGGTTTTTATCAATGAAACCTGGGGGTAAATTCGGTATAAAAAATATCCAATCAAAAACCAATAAAATATAAATTACAAATTAATCTAAAATCCATAAATTAATCTCACACTCTCTCACATCTTTCACATCATCTGCACATATCTTCCTTTTCCATCGACCACCTCCTACCACCCTCCATCGACCACCGCTTCATCTATCGTCGATCAATGAATATTTCTGATCCACAATCGTTAATCTCTATATCATCAACGAAGTTGATTCATTCGTTAACTCCACTGCCTACAATCAATCGATTTAGTTATTCAGAAGAGAATAGATTTAGTGACCGAGTTCTGATGATCGATTAGCATCTCCGACAACCGGTTCGTGTCTCCGTCTCATCTATGTTGACTTATTCACATATCCACCCCATTTACTAAATCAAATCCCACATTTGTTGTTCTATCGATTCGTCTGATCTAGAAATGATCTTCCAATCGAATCTGTTGATCACTTCGAACTGACATGAGGTATACGAACAACTTTCGCTTACCGATGTTGCTTCATTAAATCGACGACCTGATTTCATCTCCACGAACGATGACCTGATTTCATCTCCGCACTCCACCTACGGTAATCTATACTTCTCACTTGTCATTTCTTGTTGCCACTTAGTCTTATGATTTTTGGTTGCTACCTCGCATTTTTGTTTTCTGATTTTCTGATTCATCTAAACATGAGTAGGAATTCAAATTTGGTACTTATGGATTGTTATGAATTCAGTTCAATTATCAGGAACAACTATGACCTTTGTTATTGTTGAAGGATCAGTCATAATTGTAGCTTCTGTTGGTGATTCACGTTGCATACTTGAGTCTGCAGAAAGAGACTTATATTATCTATCTGCTGATCACAGACTTGAATGCAGTGAAGAAGAGTAAGTTATCAAATCTTATATTATGCTTTCTTTTTTTAGTCCTAATGTAGTATTTGATAATTTTTAAATTAATTACCAGAGTGGACATGATTCGGCTTATCTCTAATCGCCACTGCCCACCAAAGAAAATAATGATGTCAATTGTTTGAAGCCTTATATTATCTATCTACAGATCACAGACTTAAATGCAGTGAAGAAGAGTAAGTTATCAAATCTTATATTATGCTTTCTTTTGGCTTTTGTTGTTGTTGTAATATTCTTATTTGAAGCCTTATTCATATCAGTTGTTTGAAGGTTATTCTTGATATTCTGGAAATGCTAAAAAAGCCTGATGTCAATGCAATGCTTCATCAATTTGGATTCCAGGTGTGTAGTCTCAATTAATTTTATAGTTCTTAGTTTTTTTTAATGATTTTTTATAGAAAAGTTTTATGTTCTCCTATAGTTGCATTATGAATTGTATTTGGATCCCTTCACATTAATTTGGATTCTAGGTGTGTAGTCTCAACTATTATCTTTTTTGCCATATATAATATTCATTATATTAATTTGGATGTGATTTATATATTTTCATGTGAATTACATGTGATTCACAAGTAAATCACATGTGTTTCACATATTAATCACATGTAAATCACAAGTGAATTACATATGAATTATGTATATATACACACATTCATATGTTAATCACATGAAAATCACATGTGATTCCCATATTAATCACATGTGATTCACATATTAATTATATTTGATTCACATGTAAATGAAATTTGATTTACATGTAAATCACATGTGATTCACATATTAATCACATGTGATTCACGTGTAAATCACATGTAATTCACATATAAATCATATGTAATTCACACATACACGCACACACACACACATACACACACACACACACATATATATATATATATATATATATATATATATATATATATATATATATATATATCACATGTAAATAACATATGAATTACATGTGATTAACATGTAAATTACAAGTAAATCACATATGATTCACATGTAAATCACAAGTGAATCACATATGAATTACGTCTATATATGCATTTTGTGTGAGTGTTCTTCGTTAATTACTTTCAAAAAATTTCTTGTGAATTCACATTTGAATCTTAAAAGATACAATCACATGTGAATATCATATTATATATTCACATGTGAATCTTACATGATTTATACATGTGCATTTTTGTAAGTGTTCTTGCATTAATCATTTTTTTTTCTTATAGATTTTGAAGAATTTGTGGAAAATATTGAAGAAGTGAAAAGTGATAAATTGAAGAAAATATAAAAATAGTGATATGAAGAAATGATAACATTGTGAATCATTATAGTTTTTTTATATTTTATTTTGTATCGAATAAAATGCTTGTAGTATTTATGTTTATAGATTGATTAATAAAAATGAGATTTTTTTATAATTTACTTATGAATATTATAGTATAAGGAATATTCATATATGAATTTGAAAAAATATGTATATATATGTACCTAAAACGTTGATTTTTTTTGTTAAAAAAAATGCAGTTTTGAAAAAAAAATTGTATTTTTTTATAAATATCGCACTTTTTTTTTTTGAAAAAACTGCAGCTTTTTTGGAAAAAAATGCAGTTTTTTTGAAAAAAAAATAGTTTTTTTTCTAGAAAAAATGCAGTTTTTTTTTTTTTGGAAAAATGATGTGGTTTTTTACAAAAATATTTTTTTTTATTTTTTTTTAAATTCATGTTTTTTGAAAAAAAAAAATTAAAAAATCTCCATTTTTTTAAAAAAAAAAAAATCAAAAATTATTTTTTTTTTTAAATAAAGCCGAAATTTTGAGTTATTTTGTTAATTTGTAGACATTTATATTAAATATTAATATATTAAGTAACATAAAAAAAAAATAAACATTAAATGAGATTGGTAAGATGATGATCATGTCTTTAATGAATTACTTTTAATCCAACGCTCCACTTTTAGTTCTCGGGTTCCCGGTAAACTGAGTTCTCACCCGATCTCAACCATATATATATATATATATATATATATATATATATATATATATATATATATATATATATATATATATATATATATCATTTTGCTATGTTTAATATAGCATTTTGACAGCAAAAGTTGTTCATATTGGACCACTTTTACATAAAAGAATGGAATGAAAAAGCTGACTCACACCACACTCTACAACAATGACAATGAAAGAAATCCAAGATCCATTGAAAAAGAGCATGACGACTTCAATCCAAAATTATTATCAACATATTATTGTTGTGAAAATCTATTTCACTTACTTTTGTCCCACTTATACACATTTTTGAAATACATCTTAATCGTAAAAAAAAAAAAAAAAAAAGTAAGACTACAAACATACGTAAAAAAATAAAAATAAAATACGATAAAACTGACATAGGGTGAAACCCGGGTTTTTTTTCTAGTTATAGAACAATACACGGTTCTCTAAATCCATTAAAAGATAAAGATGTAGCTTTTTTAAGGTCACTTACAATTGTTGGCCTCTTCTAAAACATATTTACTTTGTCACATCAATAAAAGCTATCTTTACAAACATTCTCCAATGCACAAACCAAAATTACAAGTTTATCCCGACAATAGAAGCTTCTTTGTTGCGCATAACAAGAGGGAAAAAAAAAACACCCAATAAAGACATGACCAAAGAGGTAGTTAATATAGAAAAATATCCAATATCTTGAAGATCAAATAGCACCCACAACTTTTTATGCTTTTTAGTAGCCATCCCACTTCCATTACAAAATCATTTCTCGTTTTGAAAACGAATGTTAATTATTTTTTTTCGAGGCTCATTTCTTGAAGATTTAGCAAAAGATTATCGGCGTTTAAAAGGACTTTGTTGGATGAATTAGCCATTGTTGTTGCTATTTCTCTAGCAGCTTCGATTTTTCTGAGTGTTATAAATGCGGGATTGTTGGCAATCGCTTGACCAATCAGTTGGGCACTTTTTGCTTCTCCCTATTAATAATAATACATTAATGCAACAAAGTAAACCCATGTGTTACGTTAGGTGTACTTTCTTTTTTTATTTTTTAATTAATAAATATATAGACATTGACTTTTTTTAAGTCATAACTATTTACTAGAAATTTCAAATTTGCGTACGTGACTGATTTTTAAACTATTATTTGTCCATACAACATTTTATCCAGACAATGTAAATGAACTTAAAATAAAATAAAAAAGGAAATTATATCCTTAGTTGAGCAGATAAGCAAAATGTCAATGCCAAGAGCCCACGTTGGACTTTTGAAAGTCAACCTTCACTTTTTAGTTTCAGTTTTCAGATCGAAAGATTCCTTTTAGTGCTCATTTCCAATTTCCTTCTAGATGCTTAAACATACGTGTGGAAGAAAAAAAAAAAAAAAAAAAAAATTTCACCATTTTATCGAGTTTTGATATTTTTAAAAGATACAAAAACACAAAATGTACATTTCATCATTTTAATTTTTGCTATATTTCATCATTTTAATAATAGAGATTTGACTTTTCTATAATCAATAGAAAATGCTTTTCAAACTTCCAAGTCAAAAAAACAACTCATTTGAGATTTCAAAGGTCAACTAACATTAACATACATGTTAGCTGCATGAGTTAATGCTTGTAATAAATTAGCTTTTATTCAACCATATAATAAAAAACCATCATATTTTTCGCTGAATAAATATGACATAGCTTTTGGCCCTTTTTAGCCAACTAACAATTTTCTGTTTTGATCAAACCAATTAACCTTTTTTTTTTCTGTGTTCTTGAATGGTTTTTTTGTTTTAGAATTGTGATTTAATAATATAATAATTAATAATATAATAGTAAATTTAATGTTGATTATTACCTGAGCTCTGATGATTGCACTTCTCTTATCTTGCTCAGCCTTCTCCACCACAAACTTAGCCCTCTCAGCTTCCTGTGCAGCGACTTGTTTTGCTTCAATGGCAGCTGTAAACTCTCTCCCAAAAGTAAGACTTGTTATTGACACGTCATCAAGTGCAATGTTGAAATTGGCTGCCCTTTCTGTTAGTATTTTCCTTATTTCCCTACTAACAGCCTATACCACAACAAGAAACAACATTTATTTATTTGGTTTTATCTATATATTAAATTAAATAAAGGGAAAAAGTCACTAAGTTTACACCAAAATTCTAATTTGACACTGTGGTTTTTTTTTGTCTCAAATTTGACACTTTGTTTTCCAATTTGTTACAATTTTGGCAACCTCACCGGTCAAACTGGTGGATGTGGCATGATGACGGATCAGTTTTGATGGAGTAGTATGCTGGCGTGTCAAAATTTGAAAATTTTTTCACAAAAGATATAAAGTTTTGACTTTTTTCAATTTTGACATTCCAATTTTTTGTTCCAAATTGGAGCATCATTTTTTCCAATTTTGTTCAATGTTGACCATTTTCCATTTGAAACCGTATAATTTTTTTTTTTAACATTTGAAACCGTATAAATACATTTTTTTCATTTAAAAACAACATTTTTGTATAAATACAAGGTTTTTTTTTCGTTCAAAGCATAATGTTAGGTATAAATATGTATTAGTTATATTATAACCATATTTTACAAATTTGAAATTTAAAATTGAAAAACATGAAAACTTAGTGTCAAAATTGAAAAAAAAAAATTTAACTTAGTGTCAAAATAGTGTTTTTTGTAACATTTTTTTCAATTTTGACACGTCAGCATATCATACCAAAATGCCACATCATCAAAACTGACACATCATCATGCCACGTCAGGTTGACCGGTCAAGTAGTCAGAATTGTAACAAATTGAAAAACAAAGTGTCAAATTTGAGACAAAAAAAAGTGTCAAATTAGAATATTGATGTAAACTTAGTGACTTTTGTGCTATTTTCCATTAAGTAAATGGCCTAAAATAAGTTGGAAATAATATTAATAGTTAATACCTCTCTCTGGGTGATGAGTTGGCTAGCATTATACTGAGCCACCACAGCTTTCAAAGTTTCATGAATGATTGAAGGGAGAACTCTCTCATTGTAATTCTCACCAAGACTTCGATACACAGAAGGTAATTCATCAGCAACAGGTCTCGTAAGAACTCTAAGCCCTATTTTCACCTTCAAAAAACCAACATATCTCATCCAAACTATATCTATAATATTTTTTAAAATTAAAAATTAAAATTAAAGAGAGATACCATTTGAAGATCACGGCTACCAGAATTGCTTTCTACAAGATGGGGTCGTGCACGAACATCATAAATGATTGGCCTTTCAAACCAAGGGATCATGATGTGGGTCCCTTCTGGGTAAACCTATTTATCAAACATTTAGTAGCAATTGAAATTATTAAGATATGAAGCAACAAATTTTCATAAGTTGGCATATGCAATGATAGGATAAGGCTTACAAGGTGGTAATTAGTGGCTAAAAGATACACATACAAGAACCAAAATAACTTTGTTAAGGAGATAAAAACATAAAGAAGCAGAATAAGAGAATTATGTGGAAAAAAAAACCTTATCTTTGACACCAACAATACGGTTGAAGACAATTGCTCGATGCCCTCCTTCAACATTGTACAAACTGTTCCCAGCTGCATATAATCCAATACCAATAACAGCTCCAAACTTTACCAATGCAGAAGCTGCACCACCATTAGGCATCCTGGGTACCTTCACATTGTTCAGATTCATCTTCCCTGCTGCCATTGAAGTCCAAGATACAACACATCAGTCCACTAACAAAAGTATATTGGTAACTACATAATGTATGATCTCAAATGCTATAAACTGAAGGCTGATGTTTGTTTAATTCGCCAAATAATACATGTGGTTAATCTAAAATGCAATAGGTTTAACCTCTAGAACTAACAAGACAGTTTGCAAAAAGCTGAAACATACAACAAATTATGAGGTTACATGTGCTCGAGTAATTTTTACACTTAGAAGAACGATTTACAGGTCTCAGGCGCATCAAAAACTTGCTTGAATCACCAGGAATGCAAATACTAATTTATAATGTGTGTTCAGAGTTTAAACTGATGACGAACTCATAAGCTAAAATCACGAGTTGAAAAACTTGATAGAAAAATGTAATCAACAATTCGTGAAATAAAATCAACTGATCTCAAACTTTGAGAGCAACCGGCACATAGATACGTTATAAATTTTGAACAGGTATGTGCTGAAAGGGGTTTTAGGCTTTCAAAATCAAACAAATATATACAGAAACGGGAACGTATTGTACCTTTATTAGAGATTCAAGGTGTGTCAAAACGGGAACTCCCGGTGGTATGGCGGCGAATGAGCGGTGGGAGAGGAGGAAGGGATGACTTTGGAGGGGGTTAACGGGTGTCGAGGGTTTTGGCGGTGATGTCAGTCGTGGTAAAGTGCCCTCCAAGTTTTGTCCGACCTGAGTGATTTTTTTCATTTTTCTTTTTTCATTTTTCATTTTTCATTTATCATTTTCACACCAAACTTTTGGAGTTTATAATCTCTTTAAAATTCTTTTTTTTTTTTTTATCATTTCTATTTTGGTCACTTTAAGATTAAGAGTGATATATTTTTTTTATTTTTTAACATATACTTACAATAAAAATATGATAAAATAGCAAATTTAAGTAAATTTGTTAAGATTTTTATAAAAATTACAAGTTTTCATCAAATAACCACTAATTTTGTGGGCTAGACCTCGAAAATGTTTGAGACCTACCAAAATTGCTTATTAATTAATACCAAAAAAAATCATATGTTATAAAAACACGAGAAAATTATAAAAATATTTTAATCATTTAATTATTTTGTAGAAAATATCTAAAAAAAACTCAAATTACAAAAATAGTCATCAATATCGTTGAGTTTATCTGTGATTTTACTTGTCCATCTACGAACGTATAAGTTGCTAAAACACATATGTATTTTAGCGGCTTGTATGTTCGCAGATGGACTCCGTCCACCTGCAATTTTAAGTCCATCTGTGATTTTCCATTTTTCAGAGTATAAAAACGTAATTTTTTTCTTACATTTCTCTCTCTCTCTCTCTCTCTCTCTCTCTCTCTCTCTCTCTCTCTCTCTCTCTCTGTGTGTGTGTGTGTGTACTATGGACGATTTCATGAATAATTTCGAAGATATTTATTCATTTTGTGTTTTAATCATCATTTGTCAAATTTTAGGCTTTGTTTATTTACGATTTATTGGGAAAAATTATGAAAAAAAAAAAAAAAAATCTAAGGTGTTGACCATCCGGTTTTCTTAGATCTATATGTTATATTTGATGTTTACAAGATTTGATAAGTAGTATTGAGGTTTTGATAGCATTTCATAATTGGATCTATGATTGTACAAATGCATAATGTGTAAATCGTGCATTGTGAGGTTATATTTGGTATTTTTGGGTTAATATGTTATATAAATGTGTTACTATATTGTAATAATATGATTTTTTGATATAAAAATGATTTTTGCTGTTTCATGATGTTGTACATTTGTATTTGGGAGGTTGTATATATAGTTTATGTTATAAAAATGCATTTTGATGTATTATTATGTTATAACAATTCAATTTTTGATGTTATAAATATGTTTATATTTGTATTTTAGAAATATTGTTTATATACAATCGGTTTACTTGTCATGGTTTATATACATTCGGTTTATTTCTCAAAAAACATATTATACGATGCAATTTGGATGAGGTTATAAATACGCATATTGTTTATTTTCTAATTGTGTAAATATAATAGTTTCTAATGTAGATAATTTCTTTTTTTGTTATAATAAAATGTTTTTTTGACAATATTTTTAATATTTATTATAGTTACAAATAACAACTTACTTTTCTTTAATGTTTTTTACCCTTCTAACATTTTGTTGTATTTCAACATGATTCTAGAAATCTAAATGTTAAAGTTGTGGTTAATCTAAAAGGATATGGATTTAACATATGGCAAGCATTTGAAGTATTGCATGGTGTGCGATGAGAAACATTTAGAAACACTATGTTTGGTTATTTGTTGGACGTCCCTCGCTTACAAGGGGTCGGGTTGCTATTTCATAAAATGTTTCTTCACCAGTTACAACCAAACGTAGTAATATCTCCAGATGGCATAAAGTAGTTGTATTTTAAAGTTGGAAATACTAAAATGGTTTATTGCCCCAGAAAGTTTTGTTTGATAATAGGAAAAAGATTAGTATTAAAAAAAATGTTTATTACCGGAACGTCTATTTCCGAACCACAAATAGTTCAGTGAAAATCTATGATTTGAAAAGTTTCATTTTAAATCAGTCATTTTTAGCTGCTACCGACGATGATGACATATAAGTTTTGTGTAGAGGGTTTTAGGGGAAAGAAGCAAACGAACGTGTGTCACAAGACTAATCTGTTTTGACTGAGAACTTGGATGGGTGGAAGAGGTCTTATTTGTCGAATTTAAAGTTTTATATTTTCTATGATAATGTTTTAACTAATTAAAAGTTCTATATTGTAGTTTTGCTTGCGTAATTACTTGTGGGGGTTCACCTACGATGATCTTGAGGATACGTTGAACAAAATCAATAAATATTTATCACTACCTGAGCCTCGTCAATCTTTCAAATACCCGGTGTCAGGATTTACAGTGCCATTCAGGGTATATATATATATATATATATATATATATATATATATATATATATATATATATATATATATATATATATTTACTATCTTATAAAAGAAATCTAACTATTTCTAAAAATAGATTGATTATAATAATAATATTTTTTAAGACGTCCAAATGATGAAGCTGATAATACAAGTAACCATTAATAAAATAATATTAAATTTTAACCACGTTTTGAATTCAAATATTTCTCATCAAATCTCCTTATATTTCTCAACAATTTGATTTGGTTCCCTCAAATCCCGGATTCATTCAAATTTTGAGCCATTTTAGATATCCTTAAATTTAGCATGTTAATTCAAATATCTCTCCCATCGCGTATACCTATTTGTTCCCTCCCCTGCTATAAAGCTCACCGTCCAGGAACAGAAAATGACTTCATCTCCCGTCTTCCACTATCCCTAACCGTCGGTTCTATGACACCGCTTTCTGACGTCTTTATTATTATTATTATTATTATTATTATTATTATTATTATTATTATTATTATTATTATTACACTTATTTTCTCCACCTAATAAAACTAACACCAACACGTAACTAATAAATATTAATCTTAATTATAAATCATATTTGACTATTTATTGTATATTCATTTGAGATATGATATTTTTACGAATGGCCAAATAATTCACAAAAATAGATGATTCTTCGAAAGAAAATTATTCACCGTCCGCAAAAGAAATTATAACTAACTAATATTTTTTTTTGAAATAAAACAGACAATTTAGTTGCTGAAATTAAACTGAGAATGTGTATATATATATATATATATATATATATATATATATATATATATATATATATATATATATATATATATATATATGGAAAAAGTGAATATACCCTTAAGGGTATATAAGCTTAGGTACCCAAACACACCATATTAAGTCGTTTTGTATCATATAATACATTTTAATTATCTAATGTTCTTATAATTTAACTTCTAACTTGATGTACTTCCAAGATTTTTGTAAATTACACATTTATGTTCCTCTTACATAATTTTCATTTTCAACTACAATATATATAGCCTAGTAGATGTTCGGGAAAAAGATGTGATTCAAGAGAAAGATAATAGTGAAATTTCGAATATCTTGAAAGTAAATCAAGTTAAGGTTGAAGTTTAAGAACATTATAATAAATATATCAAAGAAAATGATGTATTATGATGTGTTTGGGTACCTAAGCTTATATATTGTCACACCCCCAAACCAAGGATGGCGGAAACGTTCGGGGTGGAGGACTTCATGTATAGTATCATAACCACAATTTCAATAGTAATTTAAGCAAACACAACCAACATATATATAATTGAAAAAGTTACATCACTTGTATGAATTACATGGTTCAAAATCAATTACAATATGTTGACAAAATATGAAAAGTTTGACGCCTTAACGTCCCATCCTCAAAAGCACTTGATTACCTGTTTAGTGTTTTCCTGAGAATACAAGTTGTTTGAAAAGTGTCAACACAAAGGTTGGTGAGTTCATAAGCTTTTATTATAAAACTTAGTAGAAGTCTTTCACATGTAAATGTCGCGTTTGTTTCAGAAAAATCCAATATTTTCCTTGAAATTCGTAAAATGTAACCTTATAACCAAAGACCAAAATGTATAAGAAATCATCCTTACTTAGTAGAAATGTCGTGAGTTCGAAATGATATGGAAAGTAAATTTTTAAATCAACCTAAAACCTACTTCGGTTTTATGAAATCCCGTAAACTTTATGAATTGTTATCTCCCTAGGTGAGTCGCTATAATCATACTGTGACTATGTGAACCTGCCACAACGTTTCTCAGGCGCCGCGAAAATGAAATGACATTTGTCACCCGTAGACCTGCAGGTCCCACTGTAGCTAGCATCAAGGTGTGGGGTGTCAAACCTAATATAGATCTATATACAAGTATCACGTTCTCCCTCAAGGAGATTCTGATTATAACTACCAGGAATTATATCCCGCACTCGGACGTACGGGGAGAGAGATAGAGAGTCTCACTATATAGGTTAACAAGTTTACGTGAAATGTGTGTGAATATAAATCTTTCTTGTATGAATGTACCCTTTTTGTACGAGTGTGTTGAGTGATGTATCATAAACTATACCTATTATAGTTTATCTAAAATGTATGTAATATGTAGAAACTCTTTTATGAAAATGTATTAGTGTTATGAACTTGTCAAACTAAACCTTTATAGTTTAATATACGTGTTCTAAAATGAATGAATAATATTTATTATGAATGACTTAGTTTCAGTTCATGATGATAAACTAACAAAGAAACACATTCAATAATTAGAACTTATGATTATACACTTTGCTCAACATATTACAAAGTGTTATGATATTTACATGCTGTTGGCTAACTTTAGCCATTCTGCCCTGTTTTGGAAAAATCATAGAAAAATCATACGAGGTCGAAAACTAGATCCGTAAATTCTGAGAGTTAACAAAATGTGTCTAGTGTACTCATAATTTTTATCACAATTTTTAAGGACCTCAAACTTGGGTGAATAAGTCCAAAATCACAGACTGGTCCGGATTGTTGTTTGAAATGATAGACAGTTTTGTAAAAATCACCATAAATTGTAGAAAAACCGTATGGAGATGTGCAAGTAGCCATCTTAAAGCTAAGAACTTGAACTATTTGCACCTTGTACAGTTTTGAAAACAAAAATGTTTAAGATGCCCAAAACAGTCCGTGAATGGAGTTGAACTTTTCTGATGAAGGCTGTTAGAAAAATTTAGTTATGTTCTTGGTG